GAATATTGAGGGAGCGCCGCTCTGTCCGAGGGTGAATATTGAGGGAGTGTTGCACTCACAGGTCTGGTACCAAAGGAGTGCTGCACAGCCTAATGGTTTGCACGAAGTGAGTGTTTGTGGGATCGCACTTGGCATAAATCAATACTATAATAATGACTATGCTCAAATGTCTGTCATTGACTGCGAAATACTTTGGGCCAGCCCCAAAACTCCAGGCTTTTACAAGGAATTGGGAAATTTGGAAGAAAGGGAGAACAGTTACTTGGCCAAACAGTAGGAGCTGGAAAAAGCTCTAGAATGTGAGCAGATTTGGGTGAGCAGTGATATATTTGGGAGGGAGGCTGACGACAGGCTCTGGTACATACCTGCCCCCTCAGATGCAAGGATAGGCAAACAAATATGCCTTAAATTCTATCAACTCACTTGTACACTTACTGCGCCACTGGCTTTTGCATCTCGTAGTCTGGGAGCATCCAGGTGTCTTGCTGAATCCAGTTTTCTTACACCAGACAATCAGAGAGACAAACATAAAAATCAGGACAAGAACGATTACAATCGAAGCAATTGTACCTGAAAGAACAAAAAATTCCAGTCACTCAGTTTTGTTGTTGGAACATAACAGCAAGGCTACTTTTATGTAGCAATGATTAAAAATACTCACCTCCTGAAAGAGTACCTGCAGAGGATTGTTTTGCTTCACATACAGTGTCTGCTGTTGGAGTACATTCAGCTTTCACAGTCTGACCTTCTGGACAGCTGGAAAACCAGAATAAATAATGACAATATTCAAAATAGGACAAATTATCTTATCTTAAAATATAACAGAACTGTTCCTAACCTGGGAATGTTTGATGGGGACAGTGCAGAGGGAGCATTACTCTGTATTTAACCCTGTGCTGTCCCTGTACTGGGAGTGTTTGATGGGGACAGCCTAGAGGGCGCTTTACTAACTATCTAACCCATGCTGTCCCTGTCCTGCAAGTATTTGATGGGGACAGTGTAGAGTAATCTTTACTCTATATCTAATCCCGTGCTGTCTCTCCTGAGAGAGTGTTTGATGTGGACAGTGCAGAGAGAGCTTTACTCTGTATCTAACCCCGTGCTGTTCCTGTCCTGGAAGTGTTTGAAGGGAGACAGTATAGAGGGACCTTTATTCTGTATCTAACCCGGTGCTACCCATGTCCTGGGAGTGTTGGATGGGGACAGTGTAGAGAAAGCTTTACTCTGTATCTAACCCCGCGCTGTCCCTGTCCTGGGACTGTTTGAATAGGATAGTGTAGAGAGAGTTCTACTTTTTGTTTAAAAAAGTAGGTAGAGCTTTCCCATGTATATTACCCTGGGATATAACTGTTCTGCGTGTGTCTGATGGAGAAAAAGTAGAAGTGGTGATGTGCCTGAGTGCAGCAACTTATGAATGGACCATTAAATTTATACAAATTCACACTCAGATTTGATTTTAAAAAACAGGTTTGAATAACTATGTGCCCCACCCAAACCAGATGGATGCCCAGCTCACACAGACATCACTTTGGGATACCCCACAATGTGACATAGTAAGAAGTAAAGTGAAACAGAGAATTCAAAGCTTTCCTCCCAATGCCAATTGTAGATGTGGGGAATCTGTATTCACCTGGTTTTACACTTCCGACATATCTCACAGGACTGCTCTGGCGAACAGAATCTTCCTGCTTTGCACTGGCACACGGTGTTGTTCTGTGCTGTACAGTGAGACACTACTTCCTGATCTGTGAAGACACACAGCAATCAATGAAAATTAGTTCATTTGCTGGCAGAACAAAGAACGGGGAACGGGATGAAATTCAAAGCTGCTTCAGAAAGATAGCACTGGCAGTGTGGACTGAACGGCCTTCTGTGGTGTAACATTCAAAAAAACTCCAACTGAACCCTCTGACTCGGGGCTTAGGAGCCTCAGAGCCATGGCTGACGATATGCCTCCCTGATGGCCACACAACAACAGCAAAGAAGTCCCTTTCCAAAGCAAAGGAGATCAGATGCAAAACAGAAAAGCCTCCATTTCAACAGCCAAAGTTTAACCCAGGAATAGTTACAACTCTGATTTCTTACCTTCTCGACAAGAGTGGCAGGCCAGGCAACTGTCCAGACCATTAGGCCATTCGGTATAGTCTTCTCCATCAGTACAAGGCTGGCACTTCCCCCTGGTATAAGGTGTGTTACAGTTTTCAGCCACGTAGGTTCCTGTAGTCAGTAAGCAGGCCATTAACAGACAAGTCAGATGAATAACCACTCCTTCCGGGGGTAGTCAAACTGAGCGGTGCATTTAAAAACTTTTAACCAGTCACAGCAACATTCCTATCACTGCAGATCCCACAATCGCAAGTGTTCGGTCCAAAAACTTACCGATGCCCAAACTGGGACACTCCCAGCTCTGTTCTGCATGGCAATAGTTAATTGAAGGTGAATGGGAACGGGAGTAAAAACAGACAGGCTTCCCACTCCAAATTGTGATGTTCCACTATGATGTTCCCCACAGTCACTTTGCCAACCAACCTGCAACATCTCACTTCCTGCATGACCATGAAACCATATAATAGGAGAATTAGGCCATTTGGCCCACCTAAATGCACATGCAGAGGGTAATGTGGTACAATTGCCATCAACAGCCATTTCCCCAAGCCAGGTGGCACAGAATGAGGTCATTACCCCATGACCTTCTCCATAAAGACAAACCATGGGATTGTTTGCAGCAGAGAGAGAGAGAGAGAGAGGAACAAGTGTTCATAAAGCTAATCCCGTGTTAATGCTCATGTCACCTTTAGTGGGGCAGACTGCTGGGTGTGACTTAGCCCAATATAAACAGTGTTGGCACTGAGCTTTTTACAAAAAGCAGGTTTGATAAACTGGACACCAACCAGCAGACGCTCCCAAAAGCCCATTGCCAAGCAACAAAGTTTGGTACGCATAGAAGGATTTGCACTTGCGGGTCTGGCAGCATCTGTACACACAGAAACAGAGTGTTTTCTTTACACGGCCATGGTCATATCTCCTGGAGGGGTTATGACCAAAGGTCCGCTGTCTGCAGACCTCCAAATTCACGTTCAGCTCACTCCAATCCAACAAGAGAGGTGTTCCTCCCTGAGAATGATGTTTGGCCAGAGTAGGGCAAGATTGGTGCAGTGAGCAGGGGGAAGCTTTACTTTATGAGCGAGCCCGCTCCTTATTTTGAGCCCTCCATTTAAGCTAGCAACAGGTGTGATGATCCCAAGATTAGACCAATCGATCACAACCAGCTCCCAAGTACTGACTCTGCCACAAGACTATCTGGTCAATGCTGCAGCAATTAGGTACAGACAACAGTGAGAAGATCCAGACCCACCTGCAGGACACTTGAGGCAACATAGATTGGCACTAACTGGGTAATAGTTCTCTTTAGGGCAATGAACATCTCGAGCAGTCCAATTGTTTCGAGTCAATGCACTCTTGACCTGGTTTCCATGGTTCTGTTCTGCAATCGCGTTATGCTTCCCATGTAGAGACAGTCCTTGAACTGAAACCTAAAAGAGACCAAAGATTTTTGACAAAGCGAAGAGGAATCCTTCAAAATTGTAAAAACCTCCAAAGACATTTCATAAGCAGGAGCATTATCACAAGCATTATCTGACACTGACTCACAGGCAGATATGAGGGAATACCTGAAGGTTTGCTCAAAGTGGCACATAAGAAGAAGTTTCGTAAAGGAGGAAAGAGACAGAAAGGTTTAAGGAACCTGCTTTACTTTGAAAACCTTCCCTTCAAATTTTGTGCAAAGAAACTTAAAAACCAAACACAAATGCACACTGCATTGCCAGCATAATCAGGATGGAAAAGATCCCGGAATCGGTTCAGAGAGCAGACAAGTGGCTGAGCCTTGTTCATACAAAAACCAATAGTAGGATTAACACGGGACGTTACTCAGGAACTTTTAGGACTCAACAGTTCCTTTGAAACTCTTCTGGAAATCACTGAATCCATACTTGCTTGGGGAACGTTCATGAGGCAAGACTTGCAAAGTCAGCTCAGTTAATTTATAGTCTCCTAGCACAAAAGAGTCAAAGGACAACTGCGGATACCAACAGTTAAGCCAAAAAATTGGGAACATTATTGTCAATCCTGAAGAAGTAGGATATGTGTTATGATTCCAGCTGTTGGTAATACTGGACAAGTCATAGCTTCAGGTGAATCGTGACTTGATAGTTCATAAGTGTAATCCTTGCAATTTGGCCACTGCAGTGGTCAGTCACTGATCATAGTCACGAGGCAGACAATATACATTTAAATAAGAACACACACATGTTACAGAAAAGAAAAAAATTCCAGAGAGATATTCTTTAAATAGCAAAATCAAGGCTTCAACCCTTGTATCTTAATAATATGCTTTACAGACACTCAGTCCCAGTGAAGTATCACTCCTATCTTAACTCTAATTTCTTACTGAACTGACAAGGTTGCAATCATCTGAAAGCCATCTATCTTTCCGTATGTCATGAACGTTCAACTTTGAAACACTTCATCAATTAAGTGCCCAGGAAGATTGCTAATCACTCAAATAACGTCACATGCTTTCTTAGAAATTATATTTACATTGTGATATAAAAATGACTTCCTGGTCTTGTTAACATTATATCAAGTTCCCTTCTCAGAACTAAAACAAAACCCACATACTTCTACTTTAGAATCCAAATTCCCAAATAATAATACATTATGAAACTTTTGTGATAATTGTAAATATATCTGGACAACTTTATTGGTTAGATCACAAAATGCTGTTTGAAAGTTGGAAATATAACCTTTGGCTGCACAAGTGAAGCACAGCAGAGATCAAAAAACATTACAACAAATACTTGTTATGAACAAAACATTTCAGGTAGCAGGACCTTTTAAGGACCCACTGCCCCCGAGGTACTGAAAAGGTAGATCATCTTCAACATTAATACCGAGCTCTATTGTTCCAGTGTTAGGTTCCCTCTTAGGAGATTCCTACGCACTTCATACAAATGCAATACGCCAACTTCTGTGAATAGCCACAGTTTATTTAAGTAATTACAAGCTTTGGAGGATCACTTAATCTTCGCAGGGCTTGCGGAGCCGTGTCAAGCGATGCTGTCTAATAAGGGAACCGTCCTCCCTTTATATAGGATTTTACATCACAGTCAGTCATGTATGCAAGATACAATTTTTTACTTCCCCATAGTCACGTTTCTAGCAACAGTGATAGTACGTAACTTAATCACCTAACAGTAGAAGCAAAGGTCAGCCGCCCAAAAACAATGTGTACGACTAGATAGTTCCTTATCTTTTTAGCCTTAGTTCAACATTCACAGACAGCAGAGTATAATTAGATTACCACATTTTATCTGCGAGACAGAGGCGTCCATGGCGCAGCTTAGCACCTAATTTCTTACATGTCAGCAGAACAAATATTAACCCTTTAACATTTCATTCCCTCCTTTTATCATTTCATGATAACCAACTAAATGGGGGCTGAGAAAGGCGCCGCCAGCTTATTCATAAGAATCTTACAGCCAGTATTGAAGCAAGTTATTAACACACAACATACAATGATTATAACAACAAGAATTACTAGTCCATGCAGTAGATAGGATCCCCAGGATCCTCCCAGTAGCCACCCTAGCCAGTCATCTCCTTTCTTAGGACCTTGTCTGACATCTTCCAATTGTTTCTTGATAGACTGGGTGGTGTGGGTTATA